GCCTGGGTGGCTCAGTCGGTTAAGTGTCTGACTTCAGCTCAGGTCACGATCTCGCGGTCCATGAGTTCGAGCCCTGCGTTGGGCTCTGGGCTGATGGCTCAGAGCCTGGAGCCTGCTTCCGATTCTGTGTCTCCCTCTCTCTCTCTGCCCCTTCCCCGTTCATGCTCTGTCTCTCTCTGTCTCAAAAATAAATAAACGTTAAAAAAAAATTAAAAAAAAAAAAGAAAAAAAGGATTTAAAAAATATTGTATGATGAAAGGTACCAACATTTGGAAGATCTGCTTGATTCAGTCAACTCCTATTTTCCAAATGACCAACATATATGATGTTATAAAATCATGCATGAGCAAAAGATACATTCCGGATGTAAGACGAATCAATAGATTTCAATATAATAGAGTGCAGAAAGTCCACGGATATATTTTCAGATTTCAAATTGCAATTAATCTTAAAAAACTACCACCTGCTGAGTTTTTAGCATAGTATCAAAGAAAAATATTCACAGTTATCTGAAAAGGCTTAAAATACCATTCCCTTTTCCAACTACATATTTGTGGGAGGTTGGATTTTCAACCAAAATAATGTGGAGCGAATGTGTTAAGAGATTGAATGCAGAAGCAGATAAGAAAATACAGCTGTCTTTTAGTTATGTTGGTCATTATTGAGATTTGTAAAAATACTATAAAACGACGTCACTCTTCTCAATTTTTTTTTACTTTGGAAAATCTAGTTAAAATATATTACTTATGTGAACCTATACTAGGTTGTTATTGCTAATTTGAATAAATAAATATATCTAAAAGTTACCTTTTTTTTTTTTAAGGTTTATTTATTTTGAGAGAGAGAGTGAGCATGAGCAGGGGAGGGGCAGAGAGAGAGGGAGAGAAAGAATCTCAAGCAGGCTCCACGTTGTCAGCACAGAGCCCGATTAGGGGCTCTATCTCAGAAACCACGAAATCATGACCTGAGCTGAAATCAAGAACCATCCGCTTACCCGACTGAACCATCCAGGTGCTCCTAAAATTTACTGGTTTTAATGGCTAATATGATGAATATCGGTAGATATAATCTCCATAATCAAAAGTTCTTTGGGGTCCTTCATACTTTTTAAGAGTATAAAAAAGGCCGTAAGACCAAGTCACTTGAGAATTGATGCCCTAGAAAAATATGCCCTGATGTACATGAAAATTTGTAAGTGTTCATAGCAGCAGGATCTATACTAGCAGGAGGCTGGAAAGACCACACACGTTCCTCTACCATAGAGTGGGTAAAGAGAGGTCACTGCAATCTTGATGTGGTTCACAATAAAAAGGTGATACTTGGATATGGCCAAAAACCCAAACCCAAACCCAAATGTAAAAAAACAATCTGCTACGAGTGGCAAAGTCTCCTTCCTACTCCGCCTGCCCGACCCCCGACACCCCTCTGGTTTTCCTAGAGATCGTCTACATGCATGTACTGTGCAAGCAGACATGTATCATGAACCCTCCTTTTTGTTGCCACACGAATGGTCACATCCTCTTTGTCACTGCTCTTCGCTCTTGCTTTTTGTCTCTACAACGGATCTGGGGGATTATTCTATTCTTCCAGTTGTTCTTATTCTTTGTAAGGGTAGCACAGCATTCCATGTGTGGAGGCACCGTGATGTAATCCAGCCCCCATAAGGTAGTTCGCTTCCGGCCTTTGACCATAATAGCCACAGTGTATCCCAAATATCTTAACGCATACATCTTTGTGTACATGGGTGTGTACATCTGTAGGATAAGTTATGAGGCATGGGAAGTTGAGGTCAAGGGTGTACATGATAAGTGTTGGTGTGATTGCCAAGTGGTTCCCCAAAGCGATCATGCCAATTTCATCCCCTACCAGACGTATGTGAGGGTGTCCCTTTCCCTACACACCCACAACGTTTAATCTTTGCTTATCTGAGAGGTGAAAAGGCATTCATATTTAGTTGCTCTTCTTTTATTAGGTCAGAGAGCAGAAGACAACAGTGTTTCCAGTTCTGATTAGAATTGAACCCGGTTGATAAGCACCAAGCACCCTGCTGGTTGGGCTCTGAGGGAGGAGGGGAAAACCCGAGATCCGGTGTGCAGATGCTGTCTGTAGCGCATGGCCCAGGGGCCACTGCACCACTTAGAGGGGAGAGCACACGTTTACCTTTCTTGGGCAGTGGGCAGTAGCACGCACTACCCCGGGTGGCCACTGGAGGGCACCAGTGCCCACAGAAACGCGCAGGGAGAGCATGGGGGTCTTGGAGAGCATCTGGTGCGCCCTCCACTTTCCTTCTCACCCAGGGCCTTGGCTCTGCCCCTCCCCTCCACCCTCCCTGGGTAGGTGACCAGCTGGCTTCCCCAGGACTCCGGGACTGTCGGGGTTCGAGGCCCTTGGGCTGGGTGGCAAGCTGGAGGGACACAGGTGGAGTGGACACAGCCCCTCCAAGCCCATCTGCTCTACTCTGGGCCCCTCCGAAGCTCCTGCTGACACTTGTGACATTCCCCAGAGGGACCAGTGGGTGGGGGGGATGCTGCTGGGACAGCCGTCCAAGGGCCTTCTACCTTTGTGCTGGCCAAAGGATCCTTGTTCACAAAAGCCTGGACAAACTCCTCAGGCCCGATGTGTCGTAGGCGTTCCTGCACCAGAAGGGAGAGGAGAAGTCGGGAAAGGGGGGAAGGTATGGAGAGGGTGCCCACTGGGGCCCTGGCATGGTGCTCCTGTGGGCTCCCTCCCTCTCAGCCCACCCAAAAGGGTCTCTGGACACCTGTCCTTCTCACTAGGGCTCCACAACTCCTATACTGATTTGTCACGGAGCTCAAAACCAACCTGAAGGAGGAGCCCTGCCTTTCCCATGCCCAGGGGCTGCCATGGTTCATGGGGGGCAGGAAGTAATGTCCCCATGGGGGGTGTGATACCCAGGAAACTAGGCTCAAAACTGGGTAATTGAAATGACCAGCTCCCTCCAGGGGTGGCCTGGTAGCTAAGAGCATGGGGTCTGGGTCAGAATTAAATCCCGGCTCTGTCCCTTCTACTGTGTGACTTCTGGCAAGTCACTTAACATCTCTGGACCTTGGTTTCCTCATTTGTGCAAAGAGGAGAATAACAGTGCCTACCGGGCAGGGTGGTGGGAAGACAAAATACAACAGCGCACCTCACATGTTGAGTCTAATGCCAGAAAGCAGTAAGGGGGCCATAAATGGTGGAGGTTTAAAAGAGAAGAAACCTATCCCCCCACTTCCCCCTCTCTCTCTGGGGCAGGCCCCTTACCCTCTGCATCTATAGGGACTCCACCATGCTGGAGGCTAGGCTGGGGTATCCCCTTCACAAGCAGGAAGGCCTATATGGATTCCTCTGGGAAGCAAGGGTGGGTGCAGTGTGTCTGTGAGTCCTGGCTGGGGAAACTTAGGTCCTGGTAGGGAAGGCACTAGTTGGTGGAAGATCACACAGCAGGTGGTAGCAGAGCCAGTATTTGAACCCGGGTCCTCTGCCCCAGGCCCAGACTCTCAGGCAGGCCGAGCGTATCCAGCCCTCCTGCTGGAGTGGCGAGACTGTTCCAGAGCTAGGGAATCCTGGAGACGCTGGCCGGCCCTGCTGTGACAGGCTCCAAGCCCTGGGTTATGCTGACACAATGCGTGGCGGTGGAGGGGGGGAGGGTGGGGAAGGGGGTTGGGATCAGGGACAGCCGGTTCTCAGCTGTTCCCGGCTCTGGGTCCGGGTAGAGGATGGCACAGGCCTGCTCACCAGCTCCACGTGGGTCAGCTGCTGGGCCAGAGTGTAGGGGTCACTGCAGACGCCGAGGAGCTCCCTGTGGATGGAGGCCGGTGGCTTGGTCCTGTAGGAGATGGGCTTGTCGGCCCCCAGCAGGCCTTCTGGGCCCTGGCCCTGAGCTGCCAGCTTCTGGTGCAGAGCCTGCAGGAGTTGATGCATTGTAGTCCGGTACGCCTGGAGAGGAGGCGGAAAGAGAGGGGCTCGTGCCCGAACACGCATCTCCCCATGTCCAGCGTCTGGGGCTCCAGGCTGGCAGAGACAAGCTGTTGCTTGATGTGCCCGCGCCCGTCCCCTCCTGTGGAAGCTGGAAGATCACACATCGGGGAGGGTGACCGTGGTCCAGGGCCGCCCCGCCTCTTTGGGCTGGGGTGTGCACTGCCAGGGGGACAGAGGCAGGGAGAGAGGAGGGAGATGCCGCAGGTGCTGGCCTTTTGCTGGGCTTTAATGGGGGCCCCTCCACTGGGGGCCCTCCTCTGTCCTGACCCAGAGTGGCCTTCCTGACTAGCCATGCTGTCCTATCTCTGCCCCGACAGTACTTCTCCAGGTCGCTGCGTGTGACTTCTCTATGGGGCCACTGCGGGAGGTGATCGGGGTTGTTTACTGCCCCAGCAGAATGACAGCTCGGCAGGCTCAGGGAAACCTGTGTTGCCACCTCTGTGTTGTCAGGGCTAGGCCTGGCTCTGGGCACACGGTGGGCCTTTAATAACTACTGACTGTACTGACAAAAGTGTCTCACCATTCAGCTCAGACAGATGCCTTCTTGCTTTGGGTTGCCCTGGATTGGGGAAGAAAGGCCAGGGCCCCACCCTGGAGGGGCACCCATCCTCCCCTCCCACATCCACAGGGAGATTGATTATTGCCCCCCCCCATCAGAGACCCCTATTTCCAAGGAAGGCACCATCAGACTGGCTGTGTTTACTAAGCCTGACATCCACTGTTCCCAAGGGTTTTCTCAGTAATCCACAGAAGGAGCCCTTGAACTTGTCAGCAAATGGCCCCCCAGAGGTTGATTCAACCCCCACAGGCCGAGGAGCCTGGGTGGGAGTGTCTGAGGCCTGGCCTCCTGGCCATGATGAGCCATCAGGCAGGGTGCCCAGAGGGCCTAGAGGGCTGGGAGAATAATGGGTGGTCAGTCATCAGTACTTCAGGTAATTTCATAATTTTTTTGATGTTTATTTTTGAGAGAGAAAGAGAGAGAGAGCGAGAGAGAGTGAGCACGGGCAGGGGAGGAGCAGAGAGAGAGGGAGACATAGAATCTGAAGCAGGCTGTCTGCACTGATGGCAGAGAGTCTGATGTGGGGCTCTAACTCATGAACCGTGAGATCATGACCTGAGCCAAATTTGGACCCTTAACTGACTGAGCCACCCAGGTGCCCCTAGCGCTGCCAGGTTATTTCAGACAGAAGAAGTGTGCTTTCTTCATGCTGCTTTGACTCACACAAATCCAGCAGCATTTTGCAGGTGGGGCGTCTGGCAAGCTGGGCTGAGTGTGCACGGAGAGGCCTCAACACTGAATCTGACAGGGCTCCAGGTGGGGCGGTTGAGGCCCAGCATTGTTGTGGTGCCCAGAGCTCTGGGAGACCAAGATGGCATCTTCTTGGTGCTCATGGAAGTGCTTCTCTGTCAAGCGGTCATGGGCAGAGCCCTCAGGACATGGGAACCAGGATGGGAGGCTGTCAACCCTAACTGAACCCGAACGCTAAGCCTTGCTTCCAGAGCCATGGTGGGCAGACCCACTGGTTAGCTGGATAGTATGTGGATAAACTGAGGTTGCCTGCAGACTAGCTGTGTCAGGTCCAAAAGTGTGGTTAGCACGCTGCCTATCAGATCTTTATTTGTGTGCTGGGAAAATGGAGAGTCCATCCTGTGAGCCCCGATTCCTGCACTGGCCCCCTATCTCTGTCCTCACTCAGACTCAGATTTAAGCGGTCACACTGTCATCATGTTCCCTCCTTCCCCACTCACCCCTCCACCACCCCACCCCACTAGTCGCCCACTCCTGTCAGCCTTTGGACTGGCCCTTACTGCCTCCCTGGACCTCCTGTCAGGAGAGCCCAGGGCCCTTTCTCAGGCGGCATCTGCCTTGGCCTCATCGCCTCAGCCTCCAGTTCCTCCTGCCTCAGTCTGTCAGCAGGCTTGTCTGCATCATCCTTCGGGGTATGTGGGGGAAGTGGTCCTCCCTATCTCCATCTGGTCCTCCCCTTCCCCTCAGTCATATGCTGTCTAGAGTGTCACTTAGTGTTTGTGTGTGGACAACATCCAACTTCTCTGATCTCCAGATCAGATCACGGCTCAGGGGTCACCTTGACCCAATGCATGTAAGTGGAAGTCACCCTCACCTTGTCCAGAGCTGCCCCCTCTGTCTGCAACCCTGTCTCAGTGACTGGAGCACTGTCATTAGGCACGCAGGCCTGGAGCCATCCTCAAGCCACCCTCTCCCTCACATCCCTCCTGGTTATCACCAACCCTCTTGATTTTGCTTTCTGACATTTCCATGCTCTGTCTCTGTGGTCCTAAGAGACCTCAGAGGGCCCCCCGCATCCATGCTGGCCTCTCTAGACTCCACTCTGCAGCCAGAGCCGTCTGTCGAAAATGCACATCTGACCCCTGCCTCTCCTTTCTTTAAAATACCTCCAGGCCTTTGCAAAGACAGAAGCCCCGCAGGACTGGGGGGTCCTGAAATCAGGCTCTGACCACGCTCGGTGGCCTCCACACGGCCCCTGCCTGCCTTCTCAGTGCTCCAGACACATGCAGCTCCTTCGTCCCTTGACCCCTTCCCTGCCCCCGGCAGGGCCTGTGCAGCCTTCTCTCTCGGCATGCTCTTATCCTTGGGACCTCAGAGCACCAGGCTTCTTTCAAACCCTCGGCCAAGCCTCGATCAGGGGATTGAGTATCTCCTCTCTCTGGACTATCGGCTCCATGAAGATAATACTGTGTCACTCTTTGCTCATCCCCAGCGTGAAGGACACGGGGACTCACACACGTGCTGATTGGATTAATGTGGCCTTCACCTGCCTCTCATTGGTTGGCCTCTCCAATGTAGATGTCGGAGCCCTCCTGAAGTCAAGGATGCAGCGTATCTGTTCTAGTTTGCTAGAACCACGTGCTTACCCTATTTTAAAAATACACACATAGGGGCGCCTGGGTGGCTTTGTCAGTTATGCGTCTGACCTCTGCTCAGGTCATGATCTTGCGGTTCATGAGTTCAAGCCCTGTGCTGGGCTCTGTGCTGACGGCTCAGAGCCTGGAGCCTGCTTCAGATTCTGTGTTTCCTTCTCTCTCTCTGCTGCTCCCCTGCTTGCACTCTGTTTCTCTCTCTCTCTCAAAAATGAATAAGTGTTAAAATTTTTTTGAAAACATGCAGGTAATTTAGCAAGACTTGTTTGTACTGAACTAATATTCACTCCAAATGGTTACCATTTTCCTGTTAGCTCATTCCTTTAGAATTTATCTGGTGGTATTAGCCTCAAGCTTACTGTTGGTTCTTTCCCGAATCTTCTGCACCCCCTCAGAATATGGGGATGGTATTTACCCTTCATTTCCTCGCTGATTCCTACACCCTTGTGGATAGAGGCTGAGAGATCCCCTAGGTGCATCCGAGCAGGCCGAGAGAGACCTAGCACTGAGAATGTTGAGGTCGTCCTTGTCCCTGTCAGGAATCCACATTTCGGAACACGTGGCTTTCCTGCATGCCATCCATTTCCACAGAGTCACCTGCTGTGTGCACAGAGCTGGGTTTCAAGTGCAGAGGTTGTCCAAGAGTGAAGGCTGTGCTTCTCCAAGGTGCCTCTTGGACTTTCATGGTAAGAACTCATCTCTGGCTGGACAGCCCTGGGCCTCTGTTCTTTGGAGTTCTTGCAAATCCCACCCGAGCCAGCCCAGGGTGCCTTGCAACGGGCTTGGCCCACCTTGCATGGGCAGGAGCTTGGCACCTGCTGCCAGTTTGTTCTCCATGTCAGCTTTCTGCTACCTGTGCCCTTGGGTGTGGGTGAGGTTTCAGGGGCCAGTGGGTCAGCCCAGCAGACAGTTGTGTGAATGGCAAAGCAAGGTCAGTCCCCCGGAGAGCCCATGGTATCAGCTTCCTGTGTGGCTGGCCCCATGGGTGAGGCCAGGGCACCAAGATCCTCCTGTCCTGTCTCCCTTACTGGAGCTATGACCTTGGGGCCTTCCCTGGCTTCTCCTTCACCTTCAGCACTGGCCTCCCTGAGCCAAAACTGCTGAGTCCAACCCACCGGAAGCCCCTCTAAGGCAGGGTTCTCTCCCTAGCACAGGGTGGCCCTGAGCAGGTTCAATGCAAGGGCCAGGTGCTGGGAAGACTTCCATGTTCAGTCATGGAGAAAAGCCTTTTCAGCTCCTCTCTGGCCTTTTGTTCCCAGATACTGAGAGGCAGTGGGCAGTACAGGGAGGGACATGAGGGTTCAGGAGAGGGGGCAGCTCATAAGAGAGAGGTGTCACCTTTCACAGTCCACTAGTGGGAAAGCCTCCTTGGTCCTGGCCCTGTGCTGTTTCCTCTTCTTCCCTGAGCTCCATTGTTATGTCACAGTCCTTACCATGCTTCCTCATTATAGAAAGAAGTTTAAGGCTCAGAGAGATTAAGTAACTTGTCCAAAGACACACAGCTGTGAAAACACTCGTGCTCATTTCATGGATTTATGCATGGCATTTTATATCATTTGATCCTATTCCTATGTGAGAAATCTTTTATCGGATGATGCTGAAATATTTTTGGAGCCAAAGATATAATGTTTATAATTTGTTTAAAAATAATTTGGATGAGGGCACCTGGGTGGCTCAGTTGGTTAAGCGTCTGACTTCAGCTGGGGTCATGATGTCACAGTTCATGAGTTCGAGTCCCACATCGGGCTCTCTGCTGTCAGCCCTGCTTCGGATCCTCTGTCCTCCCCCCCCCCCCCCCCCCCCCCCCCCCCCCCCGCCCCTACCCTGCTTGTGCTCTCTTTCTCAAAAATAAATAAACATTAAAAAAATAATTTGGAGGGAGGGGGAAGTGTGTGAAGGGATAGAAGAAACGATTTGGCAAAATGTTGATCATTGTTGAACCTAGGTGATAAATACACAGGTGTTCACAGTTACTATTCTCTGTGTTTGTGTATGCTTGAAATGTTCCACAATAGCAACTCCATAAAAGTTAAAAATAAGCCCCATATGCCTGAATTTTGGAAATAATTTGTTCCCCATCACAGCTCACATTTACCAAGTGCCAAAATAAGAACACAAGTGACTTCAGGGATTCTTTGCTGCAAAGTTGTGTAGTGGGAACAGTATTTTTGCTGATGAACAAACTGAAGCTCAGAGAGGTGAATAACTTGTCCGAGGTCACACAGATGTGGTTTCTGAGCCTGGATCTATGTGGGCTCACATGGTATGGTCCAGACCTCATGCTCTGAGAGTTCTACTCGTCCTGCCTTATCAGTCTGGTGACCAGCTCCTTTCTGAGCCCAGCCTTTGCCCCTGCTGGGGGGCAGGGAGCAACCCATAGCCCCATCTAGGGGAGAGGAGGTTGCACATAGAGGACATCTGCTTTGGAGGGGCTGCTCCTTGTAAGGGCAACTTGGGGATCTCAAAGACACATGGGAGCACCCTGGCCTGGGCCTGGGCGGGTGGGGAGGGGGCCACAAAACCTCATTCCAGCCCATACTGCTCAGCACACCTAACTGGATCCCAAGCCAGGGAATGAGAACATCTGCAATGAATTATTTCTGCTCCAAACACCTCCACCTGGTGGATGACTGCTCTTCACAGCCATTCCTAGGCCTCAGTTATTCTCATCCACGGGTGGTTAGAAAAGATTTCCCAGCACAGCCCTGGTGGCAGGCCTGGCAGTTTCTCAGGGGGCTGGCACTTGCGCCCTGTTTCCCTAGGGAACCAGTCCAGGACTTACACCCATCCCCACCACTGTAGCCAGAATGGCAGGGTCTGCCTTTGAAGTGGCTTCACCAATGGCAGAGGCAGGCCTGACAAGGGTAGATAGTTCCACCGATGATTTAGATCTCATTCTACTGAAGGCCTCCTGGAGAGAGGGAGCTCTCATCCCCCTGCATACCCTCCACTCCATCCATCCATCCATCCATCCATCCATCCATCTCTTCTCCCCTTATCTGCTATTGCCCATCTCCCTTTTTATATAGTCCCCTACCAACAGATCCATTAATTCACTCATCTATCTTTCCTCTGTCCTTCCTAATGTTTGCCACTCATCCACCTACCCATCCATCCATCCATCCATCCATCTATCCATCCACTCCTACATCTCTCCATACACTCACCCACTCACCCTCCCACCCATACATTCATCCACCTACCCACCTAACCCAAACTTCTACCCACCTAACCATCCACACACCCACCCAACCATCCTTCCACTCCTCCATCCATCCACTCCATCCATCCATCCATCCATCCATCCTCCCATCTACCCATCCATACTTATTCACTCATCCATTCACCCAACCATACACCCTTATTCATCCATCCATCTATCCATCTATCTACCCATCCATTATTCACCCACCCATTCATCCATCCATCCATCCACCAAGTCATCCACCCATCCATTATTCAGCTATCCATCCATCCATCTATCCATATTCATCCATCCATCCACTCACCCACACCCACATAGACCCATCCACCAACCTTCCCATCCATCCATCTATCCATCCCCCCATCTACCCATCAACCTTTCCACATCCGCTCACACCAAAAGTCCATCTGTCTATCAGAATACCCAAACATCTATCTTCCCCCTCCACCCATTCACCAAAGTAGCCAACTATCTATCCAGCCAGTCAGCCAGCATCTCCCTCCCTGCTCCTGCCCACCCTCCTGATTCATCCAATCATTGAGCTTTCTCTGACCCTATTTCCTGCTGCAACCTAAGCCAAGTGTCAGGATCCCCAGATGGCTTAGGGGAGGCAGAGGAGGAGGAGAAGGAGGAGAAGGAGGAGGAGGAGAGGGAGGAAGAAGAGATGACTTATCTCACTGAGCCCTCAGAATGGCTAAGTCATTTGCTCTGTGAAGTGACCCACAGGCAAGGCCTCCCTCTCTGAGCCTCAGTTAGGTTGTGGACCTTATGGCTTCTTATTGCCTAGCCTGATTTAGTTTTCCTTTGTTTCACAAGCACCTGGTTCTGCCATGTCCAGACCCACTTTGAGGCACATGACTAGCTACCAGCTTGCCATATGCAGTCTCCTCCCAGGGCAAGTGATGTGCATTCTCCCCAATGTTCTCTCCTAGGTAAAGCAACATCAGTGCTGGCCACGGAGTCATCCTGGAGATTCTGATAAACCTGCCCCTTCTAAATGTACCAGGAGATCTCCATCCCCTTCGCCGGGCCCTTCTCTGTACTCTGCTTAGAGGTGGGGATTTTTGCCTTCCTTTTACCTTTAAGTGTCTTCCCCAGAGTAATGCGGCTGGGAGAACAGGGCAGGGTGTGGGGTGCAGAGGCACCTGATGCCCAGTACACTGGCTGCCTTCCGAGCCACTAGAGCATTTACCCTGGGATGAGGTTTTGGCCACACGGGGACGCTCTCTCCTCCTCTGCCACTACCAGGGCCCTCCAGGTCAGCTTAATGGATCACTGACCAAGGGCCTGATCCCAAGAGCCCATGAGAGGGTCCTTCCTCGCCTGCCATCTGATGCCATGTATGAGTACAGGCCAGGAGCGAGGTCAAGAGACGCCTGGAACCAGAGGCGTGGTTTCCCTGCCAGCTCTGTAGGGCCTGATTTCCTGATGGGGCAGAAAGGGGCTGATTTTAGAGGAGCTACAGTGTACAGGAACGGGCTCAGGTCCCGGGTGTAGGGGTGCAGACGGGGATGTAGGACTCGCGCTAGGCCTGCCCACCTCGTCACAGGGGGCGATGCGGCCCATCACGTCCTTCAGGTGCCCGATGGTTGACTCCTCCTGGAAGTCCCGTGGGAATGTCTCCGTCCATTCGGCCAACAACTGGAGGAGTTTGGGGCCAAACTTCCGGACCCGGGCCTGCAAGGCAAGCCAAGGAGCGTCTGCGCCAGGTGAAGGGTGCCTGGAGGCGGGGCCACATCAGCCGCTGCATCAGCCGCTGCATCAGCCCCTCACCGCTCATCCTCTGCCGGGGTCTGGACCACAGAGGCGGCAGCGCTGGTGGCCAAGGGAGGTGTGCCTCGTGCCTTTTCTGTGTCAGGTGACAGGGATGCGACATGGGGATGGGGCTGACCACCGTGGGACAGGGACAGACACACCTTTGAGGCAAGGTCCTCTCTTATTTTTGCCTGCCGGGCATCCGGTCTCCCTTCCTCTGGTGATAACATCTCAGTTTGCTTTGGGGGTTTCCCCTCTCACTCATTCCCAGTCCTTGGGGTTCAGTAGCAGCTTACTTAGCTTCAGGCCTCGTGGCATGGGCCCGAATCAGTGCTGGCCAATCAGAACACAGTACACACCCATCATGCACAGTGATTGGCTCACACATGGACATGGCGTCTAAGCTAAGCCAATGAGATAGAGACTTTTACTGGGAACTATTTAGAATGCGGCATGCTCTTTCCACCCAAATTGGTAAGAGTAGATGGTGAGCCTAGGGTGGCAGAGGCCACGTGCCACTGTGCAGGGAAAGGGTGAGGCTGGCACAGAGGAAAACAGGGCGGTGGGTGGGAGGGAGAAAGACCAGATTTCAATGCGGGTCATTTGAGCCCCTGGAGCCAGAGACACTTGAGACTTTGCAGTTACATGAGCCAGTAAATCCCTTTGTCTTAGGCCAGTTGCAAGTGGGTTTCTATCACTGTAGTAGCAGAGCCTGATCGACACACCTATAAATAATCATAGCCTGCAGGATCTGGCCAGGGACGGATGTGGGGAACCACAAGAAGGCTAGGCCATCAGCGGACCCCACAGAGGAGAGAAGGTTGGAACAGAGTGTGCGGAGGGCAGGAAGCCCAGCAGAGGCTGCAGAACCATCCCACGTGGCAAGAGTCCTACTGACGGGGCTCTGGGGGCCCGGGTCTGGACTTGGTGTAAGCCCAAGGGCTCCCATAGGGCATTGGAAAACAGTACCTGGTTAAAGGTTGCAACTTTGTCCCCTCTGTCTCTGGTCCTCTGGTAAGTCAGAAACCCCTGTGGGCTTCTCCTCCGGAGAATGGGGACTCACTGCCACTCCAAGATGCAGATGTGTGAGGACATGTCAGGGGAGCGCCTGCGTACTCAGAGGGCCCCTGCCCTGCCCCTCACCTTGTCCAGCACCGGCTGGTCCAGCTGCTGCTGCTCAATGCACAGGTGGCAGACCCGGGCCAGGAGCTCCCGGGGCTCGATGAAGAGGCGGGAGCTCAGAAGGAAGGTGAAGATGTAGGCTTTCTGGGGGGACAAAGAGAAAGGCACCACGTGCTCCCCAAGTCATGGCAGGGATGTGCCCTCATGCCCCAGCCCAGCCCCAGCCCTACTGTCTCCCCATGCCTGGTGGAAGAAAGCCCACTCTGAGGCCCCTCCTCCCCACTGAGTGGGCCACCCACCTCGGGGTAGTAGTCAGTTGTGGGCACCAGGTGCTGGATGAGGGTGTCCAGGGAAGCTGAGGAGGGAGCTCCGTCCAGGAGGGGCTGCCCGGCCTGCTCGCCATCCGTGGGCTCCGTGGGGGGTGGGCCAAGGCTGCCTGGGGTGACCATGTCGGAGGCGCTCAGTGTCCGGGGCATGCCTGCCTGTAATAACAAGGAGAAGTTGAGACACGCCTGAGCTGGGGCCTGCTGGTCCTCTGTGCTCCTGGCTGCGTGGCTCTGACTCCTACAGGCACTTTGGTGTCCACCCAAGTCCAGTGATCACTTCCTGGGAGGCCTTCCAAGGATCCTTAGCCCCACAGCACAGCACTCCTCAGGAACCAGCCACCCTCTACTCTTGGTCCAAGCCATTTAGGGACTAACCCCTTCCACTCCTACCTCAAAGCAATGAAGGTTGCTTTTGATAAGACTTGGACAATTAGCATATTGCCCCTGCCCCTGGCCACAAAGACAATTAGTTCAGGGATGGGTCTGATCCAAACTGGAGAGCTCATGTGCAATCCCAGAACTTCTGTGGTACTCAGAAGCTCTCTTCCCCCTGGAGTCCCTGAGCAGGCAAGAATGGCACCATTCAGGCCATCTTGGCCCCACAAGGAGCCAGGGAGGTGGGCACATTCCTGAGTTCCTTGGGTGGGGCCTTGCGTCCTGCTGTGCTTGAAGCTGCTGTGTGGACTCCTCCATTGCGTGAGCCTGTTTGACGTGCGGTTCTCTCAGGTGGCCCTGTGTAGCCTGGCGCTCCAGACTCTGTGTGATTCAGACCCACTGACCCATCCAGCTGTTTCCTCCACAGAAATGCTCTCCCGCCATGTGCACTCACTTATCCCTGTGCACCTGGCTAAAATGCTTCCTCGTCCGTGAAGCATTCCCTTCTTCCCTACAGTGACCCCCGCCAAGGCTGGGCCTCACTTCAGGTGGGCAGCACCAGATTCTCCTTGTCAGCGCTGCTGGGTGCTTGCGATGTGGCTGGTGGTGTTTGGTGCAGAGAAAGGCCACCTGTGGCCTGTTTGTATAGTGACTTCACCCGAACCTCATCCAGGTGGGGCTCAGTGCACGTGCTCTGAGCTGGCACTAGTCAAGGGCTGGCCTGTAGCAGGTGCCCATCTGTGTGTGTGCTGTGGACCCGGGTTTCCTCCCCCATGTTCTTCCGCATATCCCTGTAGGCCAGTCTTCCTGAACTAAGCCTTCAGGGCACTTATGTCTGTGAGTCCTGGCCAAGCCTGTGACTGTTTAACCATCCCCCATGCTGGGCATTGAAGTCACCCTACAGTCTTCTTCTTCTTCTTTTTTTTTAATGTTTATTATTTTAATGTTATGTTTTTAAAAATGTTTTTTAATGTTTATCTCTCTGTTAAACAGAGAGATAGCCAGAACAGGAGTGGGGGGAGGGGCAGACAGCCAGGAGGGAAACCAAATCTGAGGCAGGCTCCAGGCTCTGAGCTATCAGCACAGAGCCCAATGTGGGGCTCGAACTCACGAACTGTTAGGTCATGACCTGAGCCGAAGTTGGACACTCAACCAACTGAGCCACCCAGCTGCCCCTCTTTTTTAATGTTTATTCATTTATTTTGAGAGAGAGAATGAGAGAGAGAGAGAGAGAGAGCGAGCAGGGGAGGGGCAGAGAGACAGGGAGAGAGAATCCTAAGCAGACTCTGAGCTGTAAGTGCAAAGCCCAACCTGGGGCTCGATCTCCTGAACTATGAGATCATGACCTGAACTGAAATCAAGAGTCAGACACTTAACTGACTGAGTCATCCAGTCGCCATCACCCCCACATTCTTAACCAGGGAGTCCTGCAGGGTTCCTGTAGGGACCTTCCAGGGAACAGAGTCTCCCCATCACCCTGCTCACTCTGCTTGTGCATTTCCCATGGCAGACTGGAACCCAGGCCTATTTCTGTCTTTCCTGACCCCTTGGGTGACCTGGCTCTGAAAGTAGAGACAGGGGTGTGCAGAGTCAGAGCTGAGGTTGGGGGTTGGAGGGAGCCCTGAGGAGGGCTGTCCTGAGGGTGTACAGGGACTGGGTCACAGCATGGGGTGGGGGTTGGCAGTGTGGGAACCAGCGTGGATGTCTGCCGGCACAGTCCTGGCCCTGAGCACAGCGGCAACTTTATTTTCACCTCCCCGGCAAAGCTGTAAGTGTTCAATTTTCAGCTGATGCAACTGTGAAATGTCACAAAACCACCTCTTGCCAACCTGTGGGGGAGGCCGCAGGTGTGCACGTGGGCACACGGGAGGCTGCTGAGCTCACTGGGGGGGGGGGGCTGTCAGCTCTGGGATGAGGGCCAGCTCTGCCCCACAGCCAGGGCCCGGTGTCTGAGCCTAATTCCATAAGACAGAACTCATGCCAGGCCGGCAAAGCGTGGTCTCTCCTGCTGGATACCTGGCACCTTCTCTCTTCAGGGATCCCAGTCCAATTTTCTCAAAGATGAGCCACTATCTTGGGTCGAGGTGATTCTAGAAACCTCTCTGCAGGGCAGGGTAGGAGAAGCCCTTCTGGGGAGGCCAGGATGCCACCACTTCAAGAGGTGAGCTGGGAAGCCCCCAGATCACCTCCAGGCCTGGACTGCCACTGGGGGCTGGATGCGGGATGCTGGGCACGTGGGGAGGTGGGTGGGCTCAGACTCAGCTCTGCTTTGGAGCAACAGGCTCACACTGGAGGCTGGAGCGGAGCTGGAGGCCAGAACCATCGTGGTCCACAGGGATGCCCAAACAGTGGACAGGCTGCTGGCATCACCCCTCCGACCTCCAGCTACCCATTGTGACCTCGGCTGGGCCCAGGCCTGGGGCTCAGTGGATGGGCTTGTGTTCCTGCTGCTGGAGTCTCTGGCTCCCTCTGCACCATTCTAGGTGCCGTGGACTCAGTGGGATCTCTCAGAACTGGCGGTGGGAAGTAGACCACGAGCAGACCAATGTGTGCAGAGAGAGTGTCCCACGGAGGCATGTGCTCTGCAGGGTGTGCCCAGGTGAGGGGAGAGGGGAATGGTGGTGCCCCGCCAATCTTTCTGCCCCTTCCTGCAGGTGTGCTGGGGAGCACAGGGCTGTAGGGGCCCTGGGGGCACAAGCCAGCCTCCTCCTTCCTCCAGCAGGGGCTCCAGAGAAGGAGCCCAGAGAAGGGCTGGGGGCAGGTGGTGCTGTCTGTGCTGAGGACTGAGGGCAGGAGGCAGTCTGTCTGGAGACTTGCCAGGCCAAGGGGATCAGCGTGTGCAAAAGCTTAGGCAAGCTGGGGGGCAACACGCTTGATCATGGGAGTGTGTGCTTGGGTGGCAGGAGCCAGGCTGTGGTTCCTGGAGAGATAGGGGTTGAGTGACCTAGCAGGGGATCAGGGAAAGTACTGGGTGCTGGGGGCATCCCACGCCCATGTGCAAAAACACAGCCATGTGAAGACAGAGCCCCCCCACCCAACGCCCCAGTTCCATAAGCAACTGCTTGTAGGAGAGCTTCTTTATGCAAGGATGAAGAAATATATATATATATGTATATACATATATA